GAAGCAATTAAATTAGAAATTGTCTGGAAGATTGTGAGGCTTCCTGGAAGCTGCCTGCTGCTATCCATGGGCAGGGCTGGCTGGCAGATACATGCTAGTATGGTATGCTACATCAGCTGGTGCTGGCTCCTCCACAGACAGTCATGTCCTCCAGATCCTGACCAAAGTCTGTTCCTCTTACCACCTTCCTTCTGAACCCATGCTTACTAGTCATCCTTGTGATCAGAATGTGGCTTCTGTGTACTGAATCTGTATGAGGGTTTCATTCACCTGACAGTTATATGCAGCAGATCTTTTTTCAAAACCTGACATCAAGGCACTCTATAAATTCGATTTATGTGTGTATACAAGTCTTCCTGAGTGGGGTTAACCACAGGTTCTCTGGGAGTAAAAAACGAGTTTTTGGAATAGCAGGTCTGAGGACCCACCCTGGGGCCATGGTGTAGACACTGGTCATAGCAGCCATTGAGGCTTCTCATAGTGACATCCTGGTATTACTTCCCCAAATGCATGTAATCTGAGGTTTTATTCATTTTTTCAAATTAATTGGAGAGATGCACATTTCCGATCAACTCTGCCTTGCCTTGGGGAGAAAAGAATGGCAGAAGCTTCTAACCCACTGTTAATTGGGATTTCACTAAAATAGAGCAGGCATTCGGCAAATGCAGAGAGAGGGAGGAAAGAAGAAATGAGAGAAGAGAGGGGAGAAAGGAGGAAAAAGAAGGAGGGTGTTGGAGGGAAGCTTATTTCCTGAACGCAGAGTCATTCGAGGATATCATGTGCAGCAAATTAAACGATCCTTCAGCAAGAATTTTGACAAGAAAATTTCATTAGGGATTTAAATCTCTATGGAAGCTCAAGTTGCTGCATTAAGATATGAAAATTGTGCAAATATTGTTCCTTAGAATAATGTTTGCTGCAGGTCATTGAGTTTCAGTCAATGAAATTGAGAGTGATAAATGTCATAGTGGCAATAACGGGAGGAAGGCGGCGGGGAGGGAGAGCCCAGCAGTCGAAGGCTCAGGACCTGCAGTCATCTGGATCAGCAGTTAGACTCCAGCATTAACTAGCTGCATGACCTTGAGCAAGTTTATTTAACATCTCTGAGGCCTAATTTCCTCATCTATAAAACGAGAGCAGTTGCCAGTCACTCTGCTAGACTGTGACGGTGAGGGTTTAATGAGATAATCCAAGTAAGGCCCCCTGGCACAGTGCTGGGCACACGTGGGCTCTAAACACATATTCGTGTGATTATACCGATGAGTCAAGGCAGTGAGCTAGTGTTCATCCGGCACTGACTTCTCGTCAGTCTGGGTTATAGCAGGCCATAGCAATAATAATCACCCTTCTCTGGGTGAAAGCCTGAGGCTCAGGGGCCAAGTGAATCTGCCAAGGTCACAGCGGTGTAAGTGCTTCCATTAGAATCATGCCCATGCTTATGTATCAATGTGTTTTTCTCCCTCACTAGATGGCGGGGGCCTCAGAGCCTAAACTCTGTGTGTACCTTTGTACTAACAGAACCTGGCCAGTTAGATGGTCCCTGGTGGATGCTCAGAAAATACTGGTGGGGTGAATTCAGGACTGCATAAATAAATGGAGGCACGAGTGCATAAACGGTGCTATCATGCTTTTCCCATTTATTTTATTTTATTATTTTAAAAAAGATTTTATTTATTTATTTGACAGAGGGAGAGAGCACAAGTCGGGGGAGCAGCAGAGGGAGAGGGAGAAGCAGGCTCCCAGATGAGCAGGGACGCAGAGCTTGATCCCAGGATCCTGGGATCATGACCTGAGCCGAAGGCAGACACTTAACCAACTGAGCCACCCAGGTGCCCCTCCTTTTCCCATTTGAACTCTGTCTCCGTGGGGACTTATCCATTGGGTTTCTCAGTGCTTTCTTTTTTAGTTTTTATTTCAAGGCTTTCTGGAGCTCTGACTCATAATCTTATGCCATTTTATAGGAAACAGGAGAAAAAGGGAAAAAAAAATCCATATACTTCCACAACCCAAAATACTGAAAGTTCCCGTTCAGCATTTCAGGATATATTTTATTTTTTTCTACCATTGGACCAAGGGATGTTCCTACTGCAATTTTATATGAAAATAATTTTCTATGTTGCTGTTTCATCTAATAGGAATATTTCTTACAGGTATCATTTTAATGGTAATTTAATAGAACATTATAGATATGCCATATGATATTTCACTTAAACACAGTTTTGCTGTTGGTTTTTAGCGTGTGTCTATTTTTTCACCATTAGAAATACTGCTGCACTCAATGTCCACAATAGCCAAACTGTGGAAAGAGCCAAGATGTCCATCGACAGATGAATGGATAAAGAAGATGTGGTATATATACACAATGGAATATTATGCAGCCATCAAAAGGAATGAGATCTTGCCATTTGCAACGACATGGATGGAACTGGAGGGGGTTATGCTGAGTGAAATAAGTCAGTCAGAGAAAGACATGTATCATATGACCTCACTGATATGAGGAATTCTTAATCTCAGGAAACAAACTGAGGGTTGCTGGAGTGGTGGGGGGTGGGAGGGATTGGGTGGCTGGGTGATAGACATCGGGCAGGGTATATGCTATGGTGAGCACTGTGAATTGTACAAGACTGAGGAATCACGGATCTGTACTTCTGAAACAAATAATGCAATATATGTTAAGAAAAAAAAAGAAGAAGAAGAAGAGAGCAGGAGGGGAAGAATGAAGGGGAGTAAGTCGGAGGGGGAGACGAACCATTAGAGATGATGGACTCTGAAAAACAAACTGAGGGTTCTAGAGGGGAGGGGGGTCGGGGGATGGGTTAGCCTGGTGATGGGTATTAAAGAGGGCACATTCTGTGTGGAGCACTGGGTGTTATGCACAAACAATGAATCATGGAACACTGCATCAAAAACTAATGATGTAATGTATGGTGGTTAACAATAAAAAAATTATTAAAAAAAAAAAAAAGAAATACTGCTGCACTAAATTTTTTACACATATAAGACCTAGGTTTTCAGGCTAGTGACTGTGGTTAGGAGATCAGTTTTCTTGAAGGAGCACAGTCCTACTGGTAGGCCTCATCCTCAGTTTTGCAGAGATGGACTATGATATCTAAGTGGATGGCAAGGGTTTTATTAGATTGTCTAAAGAGAGATTATTTCACCTATTTTGTATCATATGCGAGTCCTGCCCCCATACCTTGTCCTCTATCCTATTGATAGATATTCCATGGCTGTGTATGACAAGTAAAAAGGAAGGAATTAACGAAGGAAGGAAGAAAGGAAGAAAAGAGGGAGGGAGAAAGGGAGGGAGGGAAGGGAAGGAAGAAGCCTAAAGGGAAGCTATAATGAAAAAAATAGAAAGGAAAGGGGAGAAGAGAAGGGAAGTAAAGAGAAAAGAAAGAAGAGGGGGAAAACAGAGGGAAACTAGGTACATCAGCCAAAAAAAAAAAAAAGAGGAAACAAGAAGAAAGAAATTAGCAAGCCCATTCTTCCATGGGCTTTTCAATATTCCAAATCCATGTCTCCAACCACAACCATAAGTTTGAGACATCTGCTTAGCGAGCAGAAAAATCTCAAGATGAAACAAATATAACACACTCTAGTAACTGTCCCCTATTAAGGTGATTCCTAGACACCAGTGCAGGGAGAGTTACGTTTGCAAGGAAATGAATAGTTAAGATTGTATCGTAGCTCATCTTGCCAAGATAAAACACAATTAAATGAAATTAAACAGGGGCTCCTGGGTGGCTCAGTCATTAAGCGGCTGCCTTCAGCTCAGGTCATGATCCCAGGGTCCTGGGCTCGAGCCCCGCATCCGGCTCCCTGCTCCGCGGGAAGCCTGCTTCTCCCTCTCCCACGCCCCCCGCTTGTGTTCCCTCGCTCCCTGTGTCTCTCTCTGTCAAATAAATAAATAAATAATCTTAAAAAAAAAAAGGAATTAAATAAAACTTTTCCTTTTTAAAAACTTTGCATTTCCTAGGGAAATGTAGGTTAAAATTTGGCACCCAGGGTGGGGATGGGGTGCAAAATGCAAAATATGCATTTTGAGAAGATGTTGAAAGATGGTTAGACATGTTCATTATACAGCAATGTGCTCACAACAGGACAACTTCTGTCTGTCATCAATACACAACATTTTGTTTTACTTTGTCTTATGCATGTTTGGTATTCAAAAAACCATAACATTGCCTTTGTAATTTGGAAATACCTGTCATGACTCTCACTGAACTAAATTGCTGATTTGATAAAAATCTCCTTTCCATAGTGGTGATTCAATTGTAGCAGTCATTGAAAGAGCAGAAGATTATTTACAAATAAAGCAAAAAATTCACATTTGACTAGAATTGGTCAGAGTAGTATCAAATGTTACTTTTTACTTCATATAGAAACAAAAAACTAAGGACTAGCAACATTTCTTAGTGGCAAATTGTCTTCTTTCATGAATGAAAAAAAGAATTTGCCAACTGTCCAGGAATCAGTGATATGCAAATAGTGTTGCTAAAGATGGGTTTTTTTTACAGTTTAAAAACTTCTTATATAATTTTAGATGCCTATTTTCTTACCTTAGTAAGTACGGTAAAGGTTAATAGGCTTAATATTAACACAGTTCCAAGCAAAGGGTAAGAACCAATATGAGACTGTAGGTTCCTTAACATTCTGTTAGGTCAATAATGAGCTCTGTTCTGTTTCTATTTCCTTGCTTTCATAATGGGTGGTGGTAGGAGCCTAAATGCTAGGGGAACAGGGTTTGCTGGAGTTTCCAGTGTAGGTCAGCGGCGGAGCTGAATCTGGAGACCAGGTCCCATCTCGGGAGAAGACCAGACCTAGACTTAGACCAAGTTAGTTCTGAGCGAGAGCTTTGAACGTTAACTCCTGTCCCTTGGCAGCATTCAGAGACAAACGACTGAAATACAGCCTTCCAGCTGAGCTAGCAACCGTTGCTCAGAGTAAGCACTGCCTACATAATTGTGTTAGAGAAAGAAGAAAAATGCTTGACCTACTTGGATCCGATAAGATGGAATCAGTTTTCGGCAGAAATTGATCACAACGGACTCCTTGGTAGCCTTCTTTGCACCTGAGAAAAGGGGATAAATGACAAACATACGCATGTGGTTGTGTAAGATTTCAACAAGCAAAATAGCCATCAATTACACAAATGTGAGAACAGTACATTCATGCTTTTGCATTGTTTAATTCAGTCCTCTAACACTGACAGACGGATTTTAGCCTATTTACGTGCAGAAAACCCAGCACGGCTTTGCTTTTTTAGTTTTAGATGGAATACCTAACGAGCAAATTGAATAGCATTTTAAGATGGCCCTCGAAGCAATGTGAGTAATAGTTATCTTCAGATTATAATGCTGAATGCAGGTATATGCAGGTCTTTTCCTTATGCAATGCACTAGTCTCTCAAAGGCTGCAAATGCCCTTTCGGAAGCATATTTTAAGGGTCATTTTGCTAATAAAAAATCATTTTCTGATACAAGTGATCAAATCTAATCAGGGCTACTGTTTATCTTCCTCGTGTTTTATATTAGTTTGTTCATTTGCTAATTTCACTTTTTTTTTTTTTTTTTTGATGTAGCTATTCTTCAAGTCAGCATCGCCTAACTGCTTGGCCAGAAATAACAGCATTTATTTTAGATCTGCTAAGATCTGAAAGGCATCCATGTCTACATGCAAGGTCTCTGTTGCATTCCCTCTAAACTCATATTTTTCCCTCCTCATTTTTCTCTTTTATATTCACAAACATGTGCAAACATTGGACAAGGCAACTTTCCTGAGGTGGGTGAAATTTGGAGGCCAGGAATATGCCTCGAAGCATCCGCAATGAGGCACGTCACCACAGCCCTGCCAGTCCTCTGTCGAGTCTTCACACAGCTCACTTCATCAGGGCTGCGTGGCCACATCGGACAGCCTCGGCTCATCAGCTGGCAGTTCAAGGAACAAACACAGGCGATGCCCCCACACCTGCCTCTGTAAGTGGGGAGTGGCATTTAGTGGTCTGCTGGAAACTTAATCTGTCATGCTCAAGTTAAGCAGGGAGGCATCCATTGTTGCTTGTGGGATGAATCTGTCCTACTTACACAGGAGGAAATTGTGCTGCTAGCATAAAAATCAGATTTAAAAAACAATCCTCTGGTTGTTAGAAATCTATGAAATCAACAAAAGAATTCAAAGAGACCGTTCTGTCAGAGACAAGAGCTGTGAATTCTTTCTGCAGAATATGCCTTGTTTTTGGGTGTAATAAAGTATTAGATAAGGCCTGTTGCAGTGGGAGCAGCAACTGAAGGGCGTGGAGGTAATTTTACTACCTTTCATTGTGAGCCAAATTGCAAGTCAGGTGATCGGGCAGGCTCTCTTTAACACCTTCTTAAGCCTCGCATCCTGAAGTGTATTTGGCAATTTTCCTCGTTGACTAAGAACAAAGACTCCTGGTATATGGATACCCTAGATACCCAACAGGCTATTGAAAAAATTTGTTTGAGCAGCCACATATTTTCACAACTTTTTTAATTCATTTATTGCACTTGAAATAAAGCAGGCATATCACTCGGTCTGTAATGGTAGAAAGTCGGAAAATACTTAGGACCGAATCACATTTGTTATGAAAAAATAAATTCCTGCTCTCCAAAAGTGGTCGTACAGCTGTTCATGTGTCTTTATTCAGAATTACCAGAACCACAGTGCTTTAATCTTCATTTCCCCAGAAACGATGAGTTATGGGCTGGGTGTGTGCTATGGCGCACATTCACGTTTTTGGAGGTTTAATTTCCAACATTGTGGGAGATTCGAAGCGCACTTTTCTCTTTTACTCTTTGCATCTTCATTTAATATGAAAATGGTATCCTAGGGAGATGGCTGCTTTTAAGGGAAGGTGCTTTTTTGTTTTGTTTTGCTTTGCTTTTTAAGGGGTTCTTTGTTACTTACAATGCATTATTCCATTTGTCTGTGGAAAGGAAACTATGAAAAGATGTTTGACATTTTTCTAGGCTTAAACTGATTTTCTGTGGGTGTGTGCCCACTTTGAAGAGATCGGGCCTCATGGGGTATCTGGAAAACAGCACAGCAAGGGCCTTCAATGCGGCTTCATCCCTGTGTGCTGCAGATAGTCAATGATGGTCCTGGAAGAGCCCAAGCCAGGCTAGGAAACCCCCCACAGGCTGTGTGACTGGCTACATAGCCAGTCCTGCTCTAAGGAGGCCGTGTCTCTGCTAATTGGTTGCTGAGTTTTAAGAATGACACATTAAAATTTCCATTTGAAAATCACACATATGTCACCTTGGTAAATTCAGACCCAACCAAATATGAAGACCGAATGGGCCAGCAGGTAATGCCAATGCATCGGATTGAATTCATGATGATATTAAAGACATAAAGCAAAGCAAAAAAAAAAAAAAAAGTCAAGATGCACATCTATTGCACTGATGGAGTTTGGTGGGCTTCTTTGGAGAAATATCATTGTATGTTTATTTTGGTTTTGGTTAGTCTTGGGAGGATTTTGAGAGTGTTTTTGTTCATTTTTTAAGATGTTTGCTTTTTGAAGAATACAGGTATCAGTAAAACAGAAATTCATATAATAAAAAGGTCTTTGTTCATCTAAGACAGCATGGCAGAATTTATAAAATTTTAAAAATACATGTGTAATCTAATGATAAATGTTATCTTTTCCTATTCTGCATTGCTTTCAAATCTCCATTCAATTCATCCAGTCCCTGTTCTATGAATTTCTTTATCCCTTAGAAACATCGTATCACAGTGATCATATTTAAAAAAATCCCAATATTCCCTGGTGGTTTTCCAGGTAAGTTTTGATTCTACAGCTAAATGGTATAGGAGCAGGGAGTAGGCTCAGGACAGGAAATACAGTCAAGGATCACAAATAGTTATATAAAGAAAATGGGAGAATTATTATCAACAGTGAAACAACCACAGAACACACTCAGGCTGCAAGAGCTAAGACATTTACCTAGAGAAAAAATTAGTCTTAAATTCTGTGTTTATCTACTCTCTGGTGAAGGAGAGGTCACTTCTGAAACCAGTAAGTTCTTGATCATGTTGTTTGCTTTATTTCCAAATTTAAAAGGCAGAAGGGAAGGACATAGTTGAGGAGACAATGTCCAAAGCAAGGTAGGGCAGGTAGGCCAAGCCCAGTACCTCTCTGCTGGTGAGCCTCAGGGCTGAATGACAAATGAGGGTCCTGACTGTCTACAGGGATAGGGCCCGTTGTGTAGTTTCAAATGAAGGCATCTCTTTTTCTACTTTTTATATCCTTCCAGCTTGACCCTCGCCCCCCATCTCAGTTGTTCAGCTGTATCTAAAATAACAAGTTCTCCCTTCTATTCATCTTTCCTCTTCTATATTATCCCTGAGAAAAAGCCCAGTTTTAGTGAAAAGTTTTAAAAGGCAATCCTTGGGTGAAAGAGAGGAAGAGAATAATACCGGCAAAGATGAGAAAATATAACATGCATGATTGTCAGCTGGATTTCAATACTTGCTTTGTCTGGTGTGGTAAAGAAGAAGTGGTCAACACATCACCCAGCCTGGATGTGAAGGACCCAAAGGAAGAGACTTGTAAAATGGTCAATCACTTGCTGATGTTCCCACAGAAATCCCACTGCTAACTTCAGACCATTCCCATCTCCTCTCTTATAATTCGCTATGCCAGTTGATTTCTTTGAACCCATTTCTTGAATAACAACTAAACTAGTGCGTAATCATATTAGTGACTTTGAGTGAAAATTAAAGAACCCTCACTTGTGACCAACAGCCTCCCTACATTTCCAGAGGATTCCTCCATTTTCCCTCTTCCTTTTGTTAGAAAAACAAAACAAAATAACACAAAAACAACCCGAAAACTGTTCCACTGAGGGAACTGTACTAGCCTTACTCCTCATTTGTTGATTTCCTGGTCATTTACTCATTAATGGAAGGTGTCATCATTGTTTCACTGCACTGTTCTCCAGTCCTACTCTGTCTTTATTGTCAGGGTATTGATTATGCACACGGATGGCCCAGCCAATACACAGTCTCTAAGCACATGCCTTCCTCTTGTTTATCATAATGATTCACAGTGCTGAGTTTATAGTCTCACTTCTCTGCTTAGTATTTGCATAGATGTACTTTACGCAAATCACTTAACATCCCTGTTTCCCAGTTTCAACCCAAATAAAACATGAGCGATGCCAGGAAGGAGAAAAATGAACAAGGACACAGAGTTGATATTCTACACGTGCATTTTGGCCATTTTTATGACTACAGGCCTTATACCTGCCGTATCTTCAAAGATGTATTTGACATAATTTACAAGAGAAATGTATGAAGGATAGAAACATGTTCAACTGTTTGCTTCAATCCCTGTGTAGTGCCTGGTCTCTGCATTCACTTTAGAGAAAGTATACATTGCTTTCTTATTGGAAACTTGATTTTAGACATAAAATTTGAACTAGCAGAAATCAATTAACTTCACAAGAGAAAAGGTCGCAAAATGTATGGGTTGTTTCCTGCCCGTATCAACTTATATTCATAAAAAAAATTACAATTACTCTTTGATGTTATAGGAAAGTAGACACTTTGTCAGTGATATACAAGTCTGACAATTTTAAGGAGCCTATTAAACACTGATTTGAAAAAAGAACAACCCCTCCAGGTATTCTTCTCTATCTCCTGCCAGTTCTCTTCAGCCTCAATGTCAGAACTTGGTTGGGGAAAACGGAAAGATCATTCGGCATTTAAACTTTACATTTTGGAGGCAGGCTGGTTTGGAGCACTGCCTGGTTTTAAATCCAGAATCAGCTGTTTGCTGGCTATTTAGGCTTCTGTGCATCCTTCCCTTCAACTGTAAAATGGAGGTAAGAATAGTAGCTCTCGCCTAGAATTATTATTAAGAATAAATTATATAATACCTGTGGTTCATGGTAAGCACTCAATAAATGTTAGGTTTTGTTTTTTTTTTTAAAGATTTTATTTATTTATTCATGAGAGAGAGAGAGAGGCAGAGGGAGAAGCAGGCTCCCAAGGAGCAGGGAGCCCAACGCGCAACTCGATCCCAGGACGCTGGGATCATGACCTGAG